ATTGGTCTATTTAAATTCTCTGTTTCTTCCTGGTTCAGTTTTGGAACATTGTATGATTCTAAGAATTTATCCATTTCTTCTAGATTATCCAATTGTTGGTGTATAGCTTTTTGTAGTATTCTCACAATTTTTTGTATCTCTGAGGTGTCCATTGTAACTTCTCCTCTTTCATTTCTGATTTTATTTATTTGAGCCTTCTGTCTTTTTTTCTTGGTGAGTCTAGCTAAAGGTTTGTCAGTTTTGTTTATCTGTCCAAAGAACCAGCTCTTAGTTTCACTGACTTTTTTATATTGTTTTTGTAGTCTCTTTTTCATTGTATCCTGCTCTGATTTTTATTATTTCCTTCCTTCTACTGATTTTGGGCTTTGTTAGTTCTTCTTTTTCCAGTTCCTTTAGGTGCAGTGTTAGATTGTTTATTTGAGATTTTTCTTGTTTGTTGAGGTAGGCCTGTATTACTATAAATTTCCCTCTTAGAACCACTTTTGCTGTATCCTGTAAATTTTGGCAAGTCATATTTCCATTTCCATTGGTCAAGAAGTGTTTTTTGATTTCTCTTTTGACTTCTTTGTTGACCCAATCATTGTCCACTAGAATTTTCTTTAATCTGTACATACTTGTGGCTTTTCTGATTTTCTTCCTGGAGTTGATTTCTAGTTTCACATGGTTGTGGTCAGAAAACATGCTTGGCATTATTTCAATCTTCTTAAATTTATTGAGACCTGTTTTGTGGCCTAATATGTGATCTAGCTTGGAGAACCTTCCATGTGCCTTTGAAAATAATGTGTATTTGGTGGTTTTTGGATGGAATGTTCTATGTATATCTACAAAGTCCATCCAGTCTAAGGTGTCATTTAAGGCCCACCTTTCCTTATTGATCTTCTGTTTGGATGATCTATCCAGTGGTGTAAGTGGAGTGTTAAAGTCTTCTACTATTATTGTGTTACTATTTCTCCTATTATGTCTGTTAATAATTGCTCTATATATTTAGGTGCTCCTATGTTGGATGCATAGGTATTTACAAGTGTTATATCCTCCTGTTGGATTGTTCCCTTTATCATTATGTGGTGCCGTTCTTTGTTTCTTGTTACAGTTTTTGTTTTAAAGTCTATTTTGTCTGAGATAAGTATTGCTGCCTCAGCTTTCTTTTCATTGCCATTTGCATCATGCATCTTTTCCATCCCTTCACTTTCAGTTTGTGAGTGTCTTTAGGTCTGAAGTGTGTCTCTTGTATGCAGCATATATATGGGTCTTGTATTTTTATCCAGTCAGCCACCCTTTCCCTTCTGATTGGAGCATGTAGTCCACTGACATTTAAAGTAGCAACTGATAAGTATGTATTTATTGCCATTTTTTTTACTTTTTTCTGGGTGTTTTAGTAGTTCTTCTCTGTTCCTTTCTTCTTCTCTTGCTCTCTTCCCTTGTGGTTTGATAGAATCTTTAGTATTATGTTTGGGTTCCTATCTCTTAGTTTTTTGTGTATTTATTATAGCTTTCTGGTTTGTGATTACCATGAGGTTCATATATAACAACCTACATATATGGCAATCTATATTAAGTTGATAGTCTCTAGTTTGACCTCTTGCTAAAAGCTCTACTCTTTTACTCCCCTACTCCCACATTTTATGTTTTTGATATCATATCTAACCTTTGTGTGTGTGTGTGTGCGTGTGTGTGTGTGTGTGTGTGTATCCATTACCCTCGTATCATGGAAATAGATAATTTTAGTACTCTTGTCTTTTGACCTTCATATTAGCTTCATAGGTGGTTGATTTGCTACCTTCACTGTATATTTGCCTTTACCAGTAATTTTATTGCCTTTTTTAAATAATTTTATTATTCCTATTTGTGGTCTTTTCTTTCCCACTTGAATAAGTCCCTTCAGCATTTCTTGTAGATCTGGTTTCTTGGTGATAAACTCCTTTATAGTTTTTGCTTGTCTGGGAAACTCTTTATCTCTCCTTCCATTCTGAATGATAATCTTGCTGGGTAGAGTATTCTTAGTTGTAGGTTTTTCCCTTTCAGCCCTTTAAATTTATCATGCCACTCCCATCTAGCCTGTAAGGTTTCTGCTGAGAAGTCAGCTGATAGCCTTATGGGGTTTCCTTTGTATGTCACTTGTTGCCTTGCTCTTGCAGCTTTTAGGATTCTCTCTTTATCTTTCATTTTGGACATTTTAATGATAATGTGTCTTGGTGTGGGCCTCTGTGGGTTTATCTTGTTTGGTGCTCTCTGTGCTCCCTGTGCTTGGATGTCTGTTTCCTTCCTTAGGTTAGGAAAGTTTTCAGCTAGTATTTCTTCAAATAGATTCTCTACCCCTTTGTCTGTCTCTTCTCCTTCTGGGTCACCTATAATACGGATGTTAGTGCACTTGATGTTGTCCCAGAGGTCCCTCAGACTGTTCTCATTCTTTATACTTCTTTTTCTTTTACCTGTTCTGCTTGGGTGATTTTCTCTAGTCTTTTGTCCAGCTTGCTGATACATTTTTCTGTATCATCTACTCTGCTATTCTGTCCCTCTAGTGAATTTTTCATTCCAAGTATTATATTCTTCATTTCTGATTGGATCTTTTTTACATTTTCCAATTCTTTGTTGAAGTTCTTTTTTTTTTAAAGATTTTATTTTTTCCTTTTTCTCCCCAAAGCCCCCCAGTACGTAGTTGTATATTCTTAGTTGTGGGTCCTTCTAGTTGTGTCATGTGGGATGCCACCTCAGCGTGGCTTGATGAGTGGTGCCATGTCCGCACCCAGGATTCGAACCAACAAAACACTGGGCCACCTGCAGCGGAGTGCACAAACTTAACCACTCAGCCATGAGGCCGGCCCCTATGTCAAAGTTCTGAGTTCATCCATTCTTCTCCCAAGATCAGTGAGCACTGCTATGACTTTTCGTTTGAACTCTTTTTCAAGTAGACTGTTTATTTCTGTTTCATTTAGTTCTTTTTCTGGGGTTTTGTCCTGTTCCTTTACTTGGAACATGTTCCTTTGTCTCCTCATTTTACATCTTTCTCTGTGCTTTTTTCTGTGTATTAGGTAGGTCAGCTATCCTCCCAATCTTGGAGAGGTGGCTTTACGTAAGAGATGCCTTATGAGGCCCAGCAGTGTACTTCTCTCTCATCACCAGTTCCTAATGTTACAGCAGTGTCCCCTCTGTGGGCTACTTGGGTTATTCCGTTGTGGCAAGGTTGCTATTGCTGAAAGTGCCTGGGAAGGCCAGGCTGTCCCTTGGCTGGCTGGCTGTAATGATTAGCTGAGTGTGGCTGCTATGGACCTTTCAGTCACTTTATTGGGCATGGGGAGCCCCAGCACAGCTGGCTGCAAGGATTTATAGCACATTCCTGTTGCTGTTTTTCTGTTAAGTGAGTAGGCCTCCAGTGTGGCTGGTGCTATGCTCTGAGGCTTACAATTGCTGTAAGCCTCTGGCCTGCAAAGCTGTTCTTAGCTCTCTTGGGATTGCAGCTGAGTGGGGTTGGCCCCAGGCATGAGAGCACTCAATTGTTTCAGGCTTTGGAAGGTGAGGTTGATCATCTATGCGACTATTTGAGAAGCACAAGTCAGCTGCAGCTGACAAGTCCCACTGTCCACATGGCCACACACCCCATCAATATAGTCCTGTCACATGTGCGCACCCCAACTCACTGAAGCAGACCCAGTCACTCCACTCAGAGGCCCCACACACTCCACCCACTCCTCATGCATGCCCTGCCTAGCAGAGGCTGACCCACTAGCCTGGCTGCAGAGGTTCCAGGTAGCCCACCTATGCAGGCCCACAAGTTGCCTGAGGGCTAGCTGTTGGGTGTGGCCCATCTCTAGGATGGGCTGCCTGCCCTGACTGAGTTGGATTAAATCAGTGCTCTCGTGGGTGGGGCAGACCCCAGGGCAAACAGGCCAGAGGAAGAACTCCAAGGGCGTCTGCCAGCATCTGTGCCAGCATGCCTGTCCTAGGTCACAATAATGGCTGCCACCAATGTCTCAGTCCCTGAAGAGATCCTACCTCTCACAAAGAGGCACCCAGAGCCTATCAGGTGAGTCTCTCTTCACCAAAGGACTGTGACTTTTCTTTCTGGTGATTTTAGGTTATTTTCCAAAATGGGTGAATTGGCGCATGGGCCTTTTAAGATCAGAGACTTTTTTCCCCTTATGACTGATAGTTTTTCTGGGGGTATTCCCCATTGTAGTTAAAAACTAGCAAAGCCAGTTATTATGACATTTGCCTCAGTTGTGCGGAGTCCAAAAGCTGCTTATAGCAATAATGCTCCCCCACTCAGATTCCTGACTCCTCCAGGGAAGGCTTTGTACCTTAAGATTGTTCCTGGCCAGTCCTGAAACACTGCAGCTCACAAAGACGGCTTTTGCTCTCTCCAGAAAGGAATTTCTGCCTCTTCCACCTCGGACAGCACTGCCCCTTATTGTGGGGGTTCTTTTTATCCAGTTTTCAGTTCTCTCTCAGGACTAATTGTTCTAAGAGTAGTTGTAAATTTGTTGTGTCTGTGGGAGGAGGTGACTTCAGAATCTGCCTACACCACCATTTTGACACTGTCTCCCCCGCTGAGAGTTTTCATATAGCTATATCTTATCCATCTATCTATCTACTATTTTCCTTATTTAAAATGACAAAGCAAAATCACTGTGCAAACAAGGAAAATATCAGAACATGTAAAGAAGAAAATAAATTGTCCACAATATCACAATGAGAGATAACCATTATTACTAGTCTAATATATTTTATGATTTTCAGATTAATTTATATTTTAACTTATTTAAACTTTTTTTCATGTAACATTATACCATGTGCTTTTCTCATGTCATTATAAATTCTATAAAAATATGATTTCCTTGGGGCTGGCCTGGTGACATAGTGATTAAGTTCACACACTCTGCTTTGGTGGCCCAGGGTTCACCAGTTCGGATCCTGGGCACAGACCCACATACTGCTTATCAAGCCATGCTGACAGGCATCCCACATATAAAAATAGAGGAAGATGGACACAGATGTTAGCTTGAGGCTAATCTTCCTCCAAAATATTTATATATGATTTTCCTGGTTGTGTAATATATTTAGATATATAATAATTCATCTAATAATCCCCCTGTTTTAGAATCTGTAGCTTTTTCTAAGGACACTGCACTGCTTTCTAACCACATCCTGAAATACACACCAAGATGCCATCTTACTCTAAAAAAGTTTTAAAAGAGTCCCATTTCCAATATCCTATTCTAGAGTAAAGGTAATTATTTTGTCCTATGTATTAACCATATCTTGTATTTTCTGTATTGAGATGCTTTTACATTTGGGGACTTGCTGATCCTAAAAGGACTGTTCCTCCCAGGTTAGCCATTTCCTAGAGATAGTAAACAATTTACCGACAAATGTGCTTTTCAAATACAAATCAATCAATCCAGAGCCCACACCCAAACCACTTCTTTTATCAGGGTCTCACACTCTAGGCCACTATCCACCTGCCCTAATCACCCCAAGGCCAGGTACCAAACAAATAGGGGGCATGGCATGCCCTTCCTTCCTGGGAACTGTAAGTAACAAACTATCTGTCCAAGGACAATCATCTCCTGATCTGTTGGCTTTACTATACCTCAAATTTTCTATTAATACACTATACTTTGGAACATGGCAGTGTTCTGAGCCAAAGCCATCTCATCCATATGTTATAGTGCAAAATTCTCCAATCTCAAGAGAAAACAGCCACAAGAATTTGAGCAAATCCAAAGCTATTTTATAAGAAAATGCATGGCCCCAAATATAAGCTTTTCTAGCCAATCCCAATGGGGTACAGAAATTTTTTTCATTTAAAAAGAAAGTCAGGCTCTTGCCATCACCCAACAAGTTGGTAATATTGCTGCATTTCAAGGGTATTTAAATTATATTGACCCCCCAACAATCAACAATACATAATAGGTGTACTTAGATACCGCTTAGCAATGTTAACCTTAAATTTTCACATATCATCCAAATGCCTGAATTAAAAGACAAGTATGCCATTAATCTATATGCCTTGATTATCAGTCCTACACAAACAAAGTATGTGGATCAAAGGGGATGCCTGTTATTCACTACTCTACATTTCTTAAACTGTAAGTTCCAACAAGTCAAATCCACTGAAAATTATATATCTGAACTCTTTCCACACTATTTCTTTCTCCTAGTTAGTATAGAATTCCTATTGTGTTTGGTCAGTTTTCTAAAGTAGATCAAACGTCCCCCACCCCTACTGGAAATGTACAGAGGCCCATAGATAGTTTTTTCTAACACATATACTACATCATATTGCCAATCATTAGATATTTAGCAAAGAGGTGTATTAGTCAGGGCTCTCCAGAGAAACAGAACTAACTATATATAGAAAAAGAGATTTACTTCAAGGAATTGGTTCACACAATTGTGGGGGCTGGCAAGTCTGAAATCTGTAGGGTGGGCCAGCAGGCTATAAATTCACGTAAGCATTGATATTGCACACTTAAGTTCAAAATCCACAGGGCAAGCCAAGCAGGCCAGAAATTCAAGTAGAGCTTCTATGATGTGGTCTTGAGGCATAATTCTTCCGTCCTTGGAAAAATTTGTCTTTGCTGTTAAGGCCTTCAATTGATTAGATGAGTCTCACCCATACTGTAGAGAGTAACCTGCTTTACTTAAAGTCTTATGATTGTAAATGTTTATCACATCTAAAAAACACCTTCACAGCAACATCTTGACTGGTTTTTGACCAAACAACTGGGCACAATAGCCTAGCCAAGTTGATACATAAAATCATCCATCACAGAGGGTGTTTTGCTGGTTTAGTTTGAGTTTTGGTTCAGGTTTTATGATGGTGGTAGTAGTTACGATGTAATACCACAGAATTATCATGTTTCCTCAATTAGAATTTTGCCACCAGTTTATATTTAGCCTATAGCAGGGGAGCTGCTGAAATCAGGCTGAGGTACTAATCTATTTTGTAAAATGTTATGCAATCAAATCCTAATAATTCTATTACGGTATGCTATTAACACAGTCAAAATTATATAATTAATCATTGCAACTGACTATTAGACTTATAATGGTTCTAATAACTTTGTAATATAAAAGAATGAATCTGTGTCAATAGATAAGTGTTAACAGAATTATAATATGGAATGACTATTGAAATATTACTAATTTAAATTTATACATGTAAAAATTTTAAATGGCTCATCTTTCATCAACCTAGACCAAAAAAATAGGCCAAATAAGGATTTCAACCATCAAAGTTGATTTTAAAAATCAAAGTAGTCCAGAGGTGCCCCAGACCTGGCAGTGGAGCATCAAAAAACTGGAAGGCCTCACTCTCCTCCTCCAGTGGCTGACGGCTTCACTTGTAAAATACCACCATGGACAGTAGGTCTCCAAGACTGAAATGAAATGTGGCTTTGTGAATAGGGTGTGGGCTTTGGAGTCAGAAACTTTGCCATTTGTTGGCTGGGTGACTTCAGATGTCTCAGTCTTGAAGGATTTCACTGTGAAGGTTATTGGGGATTAAATGAGTTTGTACTTGTAAAGTATCTACTACAGAGCCTTATAGTTCATAAACACTCAATAAAAGGGAGTTTCATTACTCCCCTTGTTCTCCACAATGGCTTATGAAATCCCATTCACTGGCTCATTCTTCCTCGCACCACACACCTCTTGGCTTTCCCTTACTATCTGATTCCAACAAGCCAGCTTCATTTGTTAACCCTTCAGTTGTTTCAACGCCCCTCCTATTAGATAAATAGAACAATTTTTCTCATTTTTAATCATCAAATATTTATTAAGTGCCTATTCTATAGGAGGTTCTCTGCCTCAAGAGTTACAAAGATAAATAAAACCCAATCTCTGGCTTCAAAATCTCTGGAAAATTAGAAATTATTCCAGAGCCAAGATACATAAGTTCCCTTCCGGTATCCTAAGTTTAAGGTCCTCCCATGTATTTTGAAATCTTCTTAGCCTCTTGGTGCTACTCTTCCTTCCCTCTTGCCCCTCTGAAGTTCTAATTCTTTATTATGACACAGATTCTAGAACCTTCATAGACCATACTCTTGTAATCTGCTTAGGTTTGACCACCTGAGCCACACAATTCCTCTGCGACTCTCTGCATCCTTGTCTACAAGTGCCTCCCTTACATCCTAGTTCATTTTGCTCAGAATCTGTGAGCTTGGGGTGTTCATTTTATCTTGATCTCCTTCTGATAAAGAAATCCAGATGATACAGAACGTATTGAAGACAATACCTGGAAAATGGCAGTCTTGGGTATGGACTGACTCCCTCTTTGAGGTCTCCTTGACCTTATTGGCTCAGGAGTCTTCTCTTCAGAGGCTTTAACATAACTGCTTCACCTTCCTTGCCTGCTTTCTTTCAAATTCAATATCCTTTCTTTAGTTTGATTGATTCTTTGGGAGCTGGGGAAAGCAACCCACAGTCAATTCAGCCCTAGAGTGAGAGTGCTTGATTTGCTCCTTTGGTTTCTGGAGTTTGAACTGCTCAAAGAAAATAACCATCCTCCAGAGCAACAGGAAGTCCTTTCCCCATGATAAGAAATTTCTGTCCTCTGCTGTGGCTTTCATTAATATAACCACCTTCAGTCAAGATCCTTCAGGCAGGGACCTCCAAAATTTTTTGTTCATTCACCCATTTAAAATTTTTTGAGCATGCATTCCTTATATATGTATATTTATAAATTTTATGGACATTCTACTGTCCTAATATATATGTATATATATGTTTTAAAATAGAAAACCCAGAAATTTTAAAGTTATAAGATAAAATTATATAAAAATATAATACTTTTTCTCATGCCCCAGCGCATTGCTTTGCATACCACTGATTCCCTCTAACCTTCTCCTGTCTACAGAGTAAGCGGCTTAATTGAGGAGGAAATCTGTCAGATTTCCCACTCCAAACCAAGGGTACACAGCACCTAAGGTTCTTACTATCGGACCAAATGGACCAACATAAAAGCTAAGAAGTGGGCAGAGGAAGGAATGTGAGGACAATAAGATAAGGAAGATAAAAGAAGAAAGGAGCTGAAATAGCAGAAAAGGGGGTCAGGAGGAAACATCTATTGGGTGAAAACAGTAAGAGGTGACAAGAAGTTGTCTCTGATAATGATTGGGTCTAAATAAGCAAGGCTTCAGGTGAATTTTTGTTTCAGAAATAACTTTGGCTATCATCCTGACTCTACTGGGTTTTGCCATTCTGGCTATTTTGCTAACAAGATGGACACGATGCAAGCAAAATGGTAAGTAACAATGAGTCAAAATGGAGATTTCTTGTGAAAGTCACAGAGGGAGAAATGCCAAGATTCAGTCTGAGTTCACTTCTACTTCTCACATAGCAAGAGACTTTGCCAATATACTGGGAATCCACTTCAATACATAAATCAAAGAATCTCTGACCGATTAGTGATTCCTCCCGCACTTTTAGACTCCCAAAGCTCATGTTACCAATAATGTCAACCAAAATAATCAGAATTTAACAATAGAAATAACAAGAATACTCCAAAAGAAAATTATCTGAGCTCCAAGGTAAATTACCTGGGGGGGAAAAAAAACGGAAGACAGAAGACAATACGCTAGTAAACACCACTAGCTAGTATCATAAGAAAAGAATTCACGAATTTTAGTGACAATATTGGGAGGTGATAAGAAGAGACAGATATAGAGTGGTACTTGTCAGTGAAACAAAGATGGGACTCATAAAGGAAATGACCTATTTCTATGCCATGAGATCTCTCTTTCCAGAATTTTTATCAGTATCTTTCCCTCTCCCTTCTAGTCAGCTGCATCCCCTCCCAATTTCTCATCCTTAATGCCTATAAGCCCTCAAAGAATAAGTAGTGTGGAAGGATAGACAGAACAGGGCTGGCTGGAGGCATTGAAAAGAGGTGGAAGCCAGTAATGCATCATATCAAGAGGGCCACCTTAGGAGCAAAGAAACACAGCTTAGAGTAAGGAGAGCTGGGACAGGAGGAAGAACATCTCTCACAAGTAGTTAATAGAAATATTTTTGCTTAATTCTTCCACAGAAATTGATGTCTCAAGATACAGTTCAGAACAAAGTAAGTACTTATACCCATAAGAAAAATAAAGATAGTAAGAATTTATAGAATTTCCAAAAGTCAGGGTCCAGATCTCTCTTGTTTACTGTCATATTTCCAGCACCTTGCATAGTGCATCATTCCATGAACTGAACTCCTAAGTAACTGAGAGAAACCCACCAGAGATTTCTATGCAGCACTGAGTACCTAACTGGAGCTGGGCAGAATGAATTATGTTTAATAGTGGGTAGGTCCGCATGATCCTGAGGCTCTCTTCACACGCCTCCTACGGTCTGAGAGCAGCAACAAAGATACTAAGCCATGGAAACAGCACACTCCTCTGGCAATGGAGCAGGTCTAAATCTAGTAGTGAAGAGGGACTCAGCAAGGTGGCTAGATAGAAGAATCTCATGTAGTTAGGAATAACAAGAGTGAACACAACTAAGATAATTATGATTGAGAAAGAGAGCACCAAGTTCAAGATGTAAAGAGGTGAAGCAGATTTCCCATGGCAATGTCCAATGAGATGCCAAAGTTGTTGATTAAAAGACAAACAGAGCTAGGTGTGGAGTACCAAGAAGGAAAAGCCAATTTCAGGCCCCTTCTGATTATTATTTAGCCGGCTAATATTATGAAACTGATGACTGCTACAGTCACCTATCATCTTGTGCTCCCACTACTTATGCACAGTTCCTAGTTCCTGCAGAGTAAATTAATTCTCATCATTATGCACTACTGGGAGTGCATGTCTACATTAGCTCTCAGTCTTAAAGCCCTGCTAATTTTCATGAAGCAAAATCATGGAGGTCTCTCTCCTTTCTTCTCCAGGTGCTAGTCTTCTGGACTATGAAGACAGTACAGGTAAATAGATTAGGAACTGGTAGAGAATCAATGGAGGAATGTGTTATTTAGAGAAAAAAAATGGACTCCCCCTTTGAGCATGATTTGTTAGGTCAGCATATCTTTTGCTGTTATAATATCCAACTGCCAATCCATCTCTCTATGCACATATATTTGCATGTGTGTGTGTGTGTATATGTGTGTGAGAGGGAGAGAAAGATCTGTGCATTTTTCTCAGAGAAGGCAAATATATCCCATTCCTACAACCATTAAAAGAATCTTTTCCAGCTCCTGTTTATCCTAAGATCTGGAAATATTAAGGAACCTCTCTGAAACAACTTCTTAGGTGTGTAAATAGGGATAAAATACATAATTCATGAGTTGTCATGAAGACCGAATAGTATACGTGAAAAGACATTTTGTAAGCTATAAAGTACAATATAATAGGGGAGCACAATTTGTATTATTACCTCTATTTTAGAAGATGAAATTGATGCTCAAAAAGGTTAAGAGACTTATTCAAATTCACCTAGCAAAGGAAGGAGTTGGATAGCAAACCCAGGTTTTTGGCCCTGAGTTCAGTACTCATATTCTTACACCATCTTATCCCTACTTGGTTTAAGACAAAAAAGTCTCATATTATACTGAATTCTAGTATTTATTATTATTATTAATAGTTATACTCTGTCCCTAAAATCAGGACATATCGTCTGACATGAGTGACAAATAATGATAAAGCTTATCTGAAATAAAACATCCAGACATCTGATGGTTCTTAGGAGATTCCAAGGCACTCTCTACTTTTTTGTAGGGACACACACACACACACACACACACACACACATGCTGCAAGCATAAAGATTCATATCCCCAAGAGGAATAAAAAGAAGAGGCAGCTTCATCACTCTCCTGGCTGTCCATGCCTCACATCTGGGACTCTTGGTCCATTCCTCTTCTTACCTCTATGATTCACCTGTCATGACCAACAAGAGTGAGAAGCAAAAGGCCATGGCATAACCTCTTTCTTTTCTGAAATGGAATCCAAAGGAAATGGGAACATCTGGGAAAGTAGAAAAATCTCTTAGTAGTTGGATTTAGACTAATGATGAAACATTTCTTGATGGGCTATTAATAAAAATAATCTGGTTTTTTCCCAAAAGACATTTCCTTTCAGAGATCTAAAAGAGGACAAGGTCAACAGATTTTCACTTAATAAGAAATAATGTAGACATAGTTCTCAAAGTAGAATCTCATTATGTTTTCATCTTATCTTTTAGGATTCCGACATTCATATTCAACAGAAAGTGGTAAATAAATTAGATACTGAATTATTAGGAAACTAATACAGAAATCTGTTTATGAGAAATTAAGAATCTTGTTTTTTTTCCTCAACCCTCTAGACACTTCATATGATGATCTAGGTAAGTATATTTAGAGATTATGGTATAATTAAAGGAAAATCAATGTTTTTTCCTGTTATAACATGACGGGCTGTAAAACCTACCCAAGTAGAAAGACAGGAAACCAAAGTAGCACATAAAAGATTCTGAGAAGTGTTCACCTTCACACTATGAGGCCCCAGTGCTGTCCAATTCCTTTCCTTTCCACCTCCTAACCAGTTAACAAAAGTAATCTGACTACTCAAGAGAATTTCAATATCTCAGATCTCAGAAATGCTAACCACTCAAGTGCACTTTTCTTAATATAAATGTTAAGAAATGGAGAAATAAATCCCTGAAATTCATCACATTAGGGTATAACCTGTGCATTGAAATTTCAAGGGCACAAAGGAGTGCTGTTATTGTCTACTGTTGTCATTTACATCTCACGTAAACAAACCTCCTCAGTAACAACTAATCATCAGAACACCACATTTAACCAGTGTACGAAGCTACCTGAATGTGTTTAAGGGTACACAGACAAGCAAAATAAACTGTATATAATAGGAAAGAAAGAGAATTAACATGCACTCACCACCTTCTATGTGCTAGTCACTCTGGCGAGCATTTTCATTTTACTTTATTTTATATCTACAAAAGACCCTGGCAACCATACAAGGATGAATTACCACAAAATCGCACCCTGGCTGTCCAATACCTCTACTAGCCTACAGGTTGCTTTGGAGCAAATTAGAGAGTGCTCCTTCCTCCAAACAGATGCAGCTCCACACCAGAGATGCTGTTAGGGATTTCAGTCCCCATATTCCTTTGTGCAGTGAACAACCTATACAACTATAAAACAGTGGTCCTGAATACATATATATGAGAGGCATCTCTTAATTTGTCAAAACCCAAGTCCTAATCCCTTCCTTGCACAGGTACTGGCACCTGTATTCACCCAGTTGCTCAGGCCATCTACCGTGGAATCATCTTTAACCCCTTTCTCTCACTCTGCTCATCTCCGATACTTGTGAATTATATTCCAAATCAGACCACTTTTCACCACAATGACAATCTTAGCCCAAGTACCAACATCTCTTACCTGACCTACTTCAACTGTCCCCTAACTTACTTCCTTGATTCTACCTCTTGCTCTCTTATAGTCTATTCTCCTCATCAGTCAGAGTGATCCTTAATAAGAAAGTTCTTAAATAAATCAATTAATTTACTATACATTGTTATCCCTAATTTATAGAGAAAAATGTATGCATGAAAAATGTTAGTGACTTGCCCAAGACCACAGGACTTGCAAGTGACTCAACCTGGATATGAACTTAGAACTATCTGACTCCAGATTTCATGTAGTTAGAGAGTTTATTCTTGCACAATGTCGTAATATCTTAATTATTAATTTCCTGCTGATAGATATTTAGCTTACAGTCTGCAATCTTAGCTCCTTTCAGTTCCAGGCTACACTTGCATTCTTAGGGAAAACTTGCCTTAGTAAACATTTTGTTGTTGTCTCAATATGCCATGATTCAAAATTCTTAAAACCAAATGACAATTTATTTCTCTGACTTTACAATCACTTCTAAGGTGGTCCTTTAAATAATAATCATTCTAAGTTTCTAAGTTCCCAAGCTCTATTAGCCTTCCCTCTATCACTTCTGGACATAGAAATATAAATTTCCTGATTAAATTGAGATTATGGAAATCCTCTACAGAAAAATATTAGGTAAGATCATTATACTAGGTTAGGTACATGAAAGTTAGTACTTAAATCTTAGCTGAATTTAACTATATCACATATATATTGAAATTACCATGACAATTCAAAATTTTTGAAATGTACTGAGTTTATTTTTAATGCTATTAATTTTTATAGTAAATGTTAAGTGTAGCACATGAAAGTGTTCTGCATCTCCTAGTATTTTCTATTTTTAAAATACCCACAGAACCATGAGAAACAAGTAACATTAGGGTAAAACAGAGAAGATTTTGCATGTTTTGGACCTAATTTCCATCACAACAACAACTAAGTATGGAAAGAAAACACTCATTTCAGAAAACGAGCTAAGAAAAAAAGTACACGCTGTCTCTGCATTTCTCGACAGATCTTTAACTATTTATATTTTCATAAACTACCAATGATACCATCATGCAACATAACTTGTTATTTCCAGAGTGTCAGAATTATTTATTTTTATACTTTCATGCAAACAATAGTGATAACATGATCAGTTTTTGTGTAATTTGCTTTGTCAGTCTCCAGATCTTGTAGAAAGTCTCTTTCCACGACATCACTAAGAAACAAGTTTTAGGTCATAGGATGCACATCCAGTCACAATAAATAAATGCATATGTATTCAATATAATTTGCCATATCTTCCTTGAACTTGAATTCTCAACCAGCTGAGTAAATATTTTGCTATTTCTTCTCTTACTTGACCTCAAGTTATTTTATAACTAATATATTGGTCTGTTTCAGTGTTTCCATGTATAGTTTATCATTTCTCTTCACTACACACATTAACTTTAGTTAACCTTTGCCAGCTTTTTCAAGTCATTCAATTCATAAATTAAGCCATGAGGCGATTTTACCTCCAGTTTCTTGCCTAGTTGGATACTGGAGGGTGTTGATTAGGTAATCCTCTGTAAGGATATCAAAACTACAGAAATAAAAAATTCAAACCGCTTTTTCTTCATTTTTTGTGTGTTTTTAGAGGGATCCAAAGGAGATTACAGTAAGTATTCTCTAGTTTCTCAATGAAAATTTGCTTCCCACTAGTAACATTCCCCTAGATTGTAAATACTTTGAGGAAAGAGAAATCCTATCAGTTCATGTGAATACTAAGCAATAGATAAAATCTCCTAGTGCTGGTTTAGAATGGTCTGTCAGTAACAAACAAGTTTCCAAATTGACTGAGAGGAAAGGAAAAAAATGGAGAAGATCATGAGAGAGAGAAAAGGGAAATGATAAAGATAAAGGAAGAGAAGAGAAAAAGATGGAAAGGAGGGAGGGATGAGGGCAGAGAAAAATGTAAGCCACAGAGTTTCATAGAAATAGCACATGTCCACTAAAAGATGAAAACTTTTATAGAGATTGAGAGAGAGAGAGCTAGAGTGGCCTCCAGTACCCACCACCAGGTCAGTAGATCTCCCAGGGTCTGGGCTTCAACTCCTGAGAAGAGGTCACAATGATTGAAGAGGATATGCAAAGGTTAGAGATCTAAATTCTGATGATCCGCCTAATGTCTGTGTGTGTGTGTGTGTGTGTGTGTGTGTGTGTGTGTGTGTGTGTGTTTTAGCACCATCAGCCAACTCCCTAGGTAAGTTCTTCGTGGTTTTCTTTGAATTCTACTACATCTGTGCAAATCCTGTAGTTTCTGTATTTTCTTTCTCTTAAAGAAGTTTTAAAAATAAAGTATAAAAATAATTAACACTTGTAAATCCACACTCTAGATTTGACAACTGGTATTTTGTTATATTTCTCAAGTGACAGATAACATAGAAATCTCTTTTATCCCCATCCCTAGACCCATTCCACTCTCAACTCTTCCCAAAGACTTATAAATGCATCGTAAATATCTTTAAGTTTATTTTCATATATTTATATAATCTCTGTGTATCACTGAATGATATACAGTATTGTTTTGCATGTATTTTAAAAATTTTACAAAATGGCATCATTCTGAAAGTATCATTACAACTTGTGTTTTTCCCAAAAACTTTCTAATATTGAGATATATAGAAATCCAGGTTATGTATTTCAATTTTTGAACAATATTTCAAATTATGAATATGTAATATTTTTTCTATTCTTTCCCTAACACATTCTCAATGTTTCCAGTTTCTGCTATCATAAATAATACTGCAAGATGGCCTTAAGTAGGTGGAAAACAGTTTATCCAGGGCACATAACCTGAAGTGAGATTAATGAATCACATCATATGAACATTTATTTTACGTAATTTAGGCATATTTTTAATTTACTAGCTATTGTTTAATTGAGTCCCATGGTAGTTACACAGGAGGCATACCAACATGTATAAAAGTTTCCCATTTTCCTGCATCAATAACAACTCTAGATTTGTCATACTTCCACATTATTGCCATTTCAATAACTGTAAAATTTATTAATTTGCATTTTCCTGCTCACTCCTCAAATTGAGTACCATCTCATATGTTTAACAGCTAGTTATTGTGTGTGATACAGATTCTTTGAACGATGTCAGACTTTCGAGGCCTTATAAATAAACTTAAAACCATTTTTTATGGGTTGGGTTCAGAATTTTAGCCACAGATGTACATATCAGCCCAAGCTTATTACCTTTATTATTCTAACATTCTCTACTGTTATCCTTTTACATGATGTATTAGTTTCTGAGAGATATGTTTAAACCTTCAACTACAATTGTCTCCTTTCACTGTCACTTTTCTTTTTAATACTGCTCATTTTTCATGCTCATATTTTGATTGTTGTTAGATATATACAAGTTCATAATTGTATCTTCTTTTTTAAAATTTTGCTTTGTATAATGATATAATGTCCATCCACAGCCTCATGAATATTTTTGGCTAAATTCTACATTATGTGATATTAATATTGCTCCAAAACCTTTGTTGTAATATATATTTGCCTGTTATATATTTTTTCTTTTCTTTTCTTTTGAACCTGAGTTTATTTTTCTCTCAGTCATGCCTTCTTTAAATAGCATATTGGTTGTCTTTGTTCACATTAACAGTTGTAAAATTTTCTCTCTTAATATATAAATTTAATTCATTTCACATTTATTGTAAATTGCTGATATATTTTATCTAAGTTCTGCCAATTTATATTGTGTTTTCTATTTACCATGTTTTGCTCTTTTATTTTTATTTTTATTTATTTGTTTTTGGTGAGGAAGATTGGCCCTGAGCTAACATCTGTTGCCAGTCTTCCTCTTTTTGCTTGAAGATGATCCCTGAGCTAACATCTGTGCCAGTCTTCCTCTACTTTGTATATGGGATGGCCCCACAGCATGCCTAGATGAGCAGTGTGTAGGTCTGCACCCAGGATCCAAACCTGCGAACATCAGGCCACTGAAGCAGAACACACACAAACTTAATCACTACACCACTGGGCCAGCCCCTGTTCTTCTGTCTTTTTAATCTTCTTTCCTACCTTCTATCGGACTGTTAGATTTCCTTGTTCCTTTTGTTTTATTTTACTAGTATTGGTGGGTTTTATTTTATTTGTCCTTACATTTGTAACATGCATACTGCTTAATTTTTCTTAAAAAATCTAATCAGTATCTTTTTCTTCCTCCAAGATTAGACAATAAATTTTATTTGACCATCTTCCCTTTCAACATCTTCCATGTTGTTTTATGATACGATTTTTAAAAACAAAAGTTATTTACTTTTTTGCAATCAATAGACATAAAAATGTTTCAGCATTTTTTCTGTTTATCATTGTTTGCCGCATACTGTGCCTTTCCTCTTCTTGCCTAAATACAATCTTTTAGTGGTTCTTTAAACCCTATATGTGTGTGAAAAATTGTCTAAGGCTTTGTAGGACTAAAAATAGTTTTACCTCACCTTCAGTCTTAAATCAGAGTTTAGCTGAATATATGATTGACGACTATTTTTTCTCATTACTTTGAAGATTTATTCCACTTTTTTCTAGCATTTATTATTGTTGATGGCAATCTACTACTAGTTTGATGATTGTTCCTAAGTAGATATGATTTTAAGATCTTCTCTTTATCCTTGTATTCTGCATTTTAATTATGGTGTTATCTGGGTGTGAGATTAACTTCGTTTACCCTGCTTAGGACTCAAAATTTTCCATTCTGTGGACTCATATCTTTCTTTAATTATAGAAAGTTCTTAACCTTAACTGCTATAAATATATTCTATATTTAAATATCTATCTAACTAACAAACTACAGTCTCTCCTTCTAAAATTCCTATCAAATATTTGTAAAAATTCTCCTCCCATCTTTCACATCTGGTAACTTCTCTTTTATATTTTTCATCTGCATTAATTAAGTTAGCCCCATAAATAAACAGATAAACCCTAAAATCCCAGTGGTTCTATTCATAATATTCTGTAAAATCAGGAATGCCTAAGTTGGTGGTTGGCTCTTATCTCAGCAATGACTTAGGCATTCAAATTCATCTTATCGTATGTCTCAACTGTCTTAAACTAATAGCTTGAGCTCACCACGACTGCCTTAAGTGAGCAGAGGGGAAAAAGCTTGGAGATCATGAGTGGGAGGCTTTTATGGATAAGCCTGGATGTTGTCTCACACATCACTTCCAAAAACATTAGATTGGCTAGAACTCAATTATATGGCCACACCTAACTGCAAGGGAATCTGGGAGAAGAATCTAACCATGTCATATTAGTTTTCTATTGCTAGTATAACAAATTACCACAAACTTAATGGCTTAAAACAAGAAAAATTTATTATCTTACAATTCTATATGTTAGAAATCTGACATATATCTCACCCTGATAAAATCAGGGTGTTAGCGGGGCTACATTCCTTCTGGAAGTTCTAGGAGCAAATCTATTTCCTTGCTTTTTCAGCTTCTAGAGGCTGCCCACATTCCTTGGCTCATGGTTCCCTTCCTCCAACTTCAAAACTAGCAAAAATAAACCAAGCCCTCACATCACATCACTGTGTCCCTTCTTCCATTGTCACATCTCTGTCTCTGACTCCCTTCAACCTCTTGTTTCCACTTTTAACAACTCTTATAATTACATTGGGCCTACACAGAAAATCCAGGATAATCTCCCTATTTTAAGATCAGCTGACTAGCAGCCTTAATTCCATCTGTAACCTTAATTCCCTTTTGCCATGTAACCTAACATATTCACAGTTTCTGGGGATTAGGACGTAGACATCTAGGGGTGAGCAGGTTCTTATGCCTACCATACATGTACCTTGGAGAAAAAGGAAATTAGTTTGGTGAAAAGCAAGGCAATTTCTGTCACATCATCTCTTTATTTCTCTATGCTGGGTCCTGGATGAATTCTCTCAAATTTATCATTTATTACTTCTTTCTTCAGTTGAGTCTGTTCTCTTTATCTACCTAATGATTTTTAAAATTTAATGACTATATTGTCTAAATCTGCCCTTTCCATTTTGCTCTTTATCAAATGCAGCTGCTCCTGATAATGTTACTCTTGATTTATGGATTCTATTTCTTCTTTTGTATCTTTGAGTATTTGAAACACACCTGTTTGAAAATTCCTTTTAAATTGCTCTACTTATATGTGTTGTTCCCTTTGTTGTGGCTACTGTCTGTCATGTCAGTAAGTCTCCTCAAATGTATTTTATCTTTAGTCTGTCAGCTCATTGGTTATCATTTGTTTGAGTTCCTCATAAACTCTCTGCTGTGCAATAATTCTATTAAAGCGTAGATTTCATAGGTCAGTTTTTATATTAGTTTCTATACTCATAGTTTCTTCCCTACATGAGGGGATTAAATGTGGGCTCTACACCTGAACTCAGCCTACAGTGAGGGTTTTCTCATTGCTGAACACTCAATTTCCAACCCTGGCCTGGTACAAATAGGTCACTTCCTACATACCCTGACCAATAGGTAGGGATTAATGGTGCCATTTTCACAGATAGTGCTTTTATCAGCCTTTGATATACAAGAAGACTACTCTTAGGTTCTTATAATGTACAAGGCTTGTGGCCTTGATTTCTGCTCCTGATCAGGTATTGAAAATCCAACTCACAATAAGATATTCATGTGGGTGGTGAAACTTCTCATTCACTATCAAAATTATGGGTTCCTTCTTGATATATGGCTCTTGAAGACTTCTCTTTCTAGTTTTTAAGCTCAGGTCTACATTTTGAAACTTTAAAAAATATTGTGCCCAATTTTTCTAAGTGATTACAGAAGAGAGTGAAATATCTATCTTGATAGCAAGCCCCCTTTCCCTGCCTTAACTCTTTATCTTCTAGTATCAGATACAGCCTGAATTCACTTTTTGTTATTCAGCATCCTCATAGGCCACAAATGATTTTTGCAAAGTGGAAACCCCCTGTTGAAGCAATTAAGTGGTAATAGTTTGTTGTAACAAAAGATCTTTCAAACAAAGGGGAAAAAAGAATGAAAATTGAGAGGAGGAGGAAGAGAGGCAGAGAATGAAAAGAGGAAAAGAACAAAAAAGTAGCAAGATCACAAATGAAAGAAGAAAAACACAGAGGCAGAAAAATTTCCATGGACTGAGAAACTAGCAATCCCCCACAATTTTTATTCTCTTACTAAAAGATAGATTGCATAGATCTTGCAATCCTCCTCTACCACAAGAGTATTACTGAGGAAATTTACAAACGTCTGAAGTTTACACCCAAAAAGTAATCTGTAAATGGGTATCCTCCTGCCCACCACACTGCATTACAACTGATAATAGAAAACAAGATGTGACCCGTTGCTGCCCTCTTTGCCACAACCTCTTCCTAATATAGTAGCTATGGAATCTAAGTTCTTCCTGAGACACTCAGATCTCACTCTTGTTTTGTCTTCTTTTAGCACTGTCTCTATCACATATTGGTAAGTTCCTTTACTTTTCTTCAGTTCTGCTGACATTTACTCCCCTTTAATCAAAGGGACATTTTCCTAAATTACTCAAACTTCTTCTACTGAGATAAACAGAAGCTTGAGCTTGATATTTCTCCAATTTCTTTTTTCTACATAATGCAGACACCTCAATAATCAACCAAAAGTATAGGAAGTAAATGAAAGTGAAATGTCACAGTGAAATGTCAGCAGGAAACAGAAACAATTTCCAAATTTGTAGTGCTGGGAAAACAGAGTAAATAAAGAAGGAAGAGAGCAAGGAGTTAGGAAGAAATATGAGATGAGAATGAAGACACTACAGCATGAAAGACAAATGGTGTTATCAGTCTCCTCGGACTGTCAAAGCTTTGTATTGCTGAGAGGAAAGGGAAGCCTTCCTCGGAGATGTCCCCACGTCTGGCTGGAAGCAATGGAAATATCTCCCTGGGCCAAACTGACACTCAAGAGTTTGGTGCTCACAGAAGCTCCTGGTTCTGATATTCCTCCCCTCAAAAATGTATAGTTTTTGAGCCAGACAATCACATAAACTTCTTACTTCTGTTTCTTTTTAGGAGAACAAAGAGGTAAGTTCTCTTTCTATTTCCTAATTCTAATTCTCTGGCGTATCACAGAGCTGGGGAACATTCCCTGACTCTGCCTAGCTCTTGTCCCTCACCTTAGCTTCCTTCCCATCACAGAGCATTTTATCTGAAATTAATGAGAACTTTGGAAAATGAAAAGCCCACTGATTAACAAAAGAATAAAGAGGGAACTGAACTAAAATGGTTTTAGCTGTCTATGATGGTTTCAGCAAAACAATGAAAACTTCTTAACTTAGAAGTAGGAGGGAAGAAAAAAGAGAGTTGTGAAGAGAGCAGGGAGTGGGAGCAGGGGACAAAGAGAGAGTTGTAATTAAAGTTGTGTTTATTGAGTCCACATTTACAGGTATTACACATGAGAAACTGAAGTTCAAGGACATTAACTTGCCCAAGGACACATAGTTAGTAAAAGGTAAAAGTGAGGTTCTAAATTTTGACTTCAAGTCCTGAGCTTGTCCAGCTACCCCCAGGACACCATTAAATATATTTAATTTTACAATTCAAAGTATCTTTTTGAAATAAAAGGTTTATGTCAAAGAATTTAGGAAACTGTGTATATGTAAAAAATATTACTTTAATTTTTAAAATATAATTTGAAAGTCTTAAAATGTGAATTAATTTACTCTCAAAATTATTTTGCTAGCTCAATACTATGACATAACCTTATCCCATGAATAAGGCTGTTTTATTGTATATATACAACTCTTAAAAGGAGCCCTTGGAAAACTATCGAGCTCAATATTTTATTACTTTTATAATCAAAATAGGTTTGATTTAGTTTTGTTCTCATCTAATTATGTCATAGAAAGGATGATTTACTATAGGAAAAAAGTAAAATATCTTCAGGCTGAAGTGTATACTTTAACAATTTAGGGTATACAGCTAAACAATAAACTCAGAACTTTAATTTCTCCTGCAAAATTTTCAGGGAATCCATGTGAGTCAGGCTTGCCAGTAAAGCCCAGAAATAGTTCAATGGGCTGCAACTGCTATGGCCAAGACAACATAATTTGCTTTACCTGGAAACTAGAATAATCCCCCATTTATACTACAGGAATTAGCAACATTGTGAATGTACTGAATGCCATTGAATTGTTCACTTTAAAATGGTTAAAGTGAAACACATAGAGCCAGAGATTGGATTGGTGGTTAACAGAGGGGAAGGAGGGAGGGGGAAGGGTGAAAGGGATAATTAGGCACACATGTGTGGTGATGGCTGGTAATTAGTCTTTGGGTGGTGAACATGATGTAATCTACACAGAATTCAAAATATATTATGATGCACATCTGAAAGTTATATAATGTTATAATCCAATGTTACTGCAATAAAAAAAAAGCATTTTTAAAAACATTAAAAATGGTTAAAATGTTAAATTTTAAGTTACGTGTATTTTACTACAATAAAAAAATAAACTGAAAACTAGAGAGATATTTAAAAATAACAAGAAGCATGAGGGATGATTTCATAACCCAGAAAATAACAAAATGGACTAGGAGTCAGATGACAGGTTCTAGTGCCACATGTGCCTCTGATTTATTTGGTACTTCAGACAAGACATGGTTTCTAGTTTTACCATCTGTAAAATTAAAAAGTCGGACTAGGTCATCTTTAAAATCCCTTATAACTCTGACATTCTCCAGTCCTAGTTACAATAATTATAAATGCTTTTGCTTACCATGAAAAGGAAATGAATTTTCCAAGCTGATAGGGAAAGAGAAGGTAGGGGAAAATAAGAAAAAGTTGTAAGGAAGGCAATAGAAGCAAAGTAATTTTGGCAAATTCAATTATTTGAATTGAGTCTACCATGTACTAGACTCTATTCTAAATGCTGGTAAATAAGGCAGACATGATCCCTACTTCATAGAAAGCATACAGCTTAGTAAAATAAGACAAAATAACATGTGAACAAACAAATAATTTCAAATTGTGGTAAATTCTATGGAGAAAATAAATTAGGATAATGTTGATACAATGAGATCTGGCAGGGCCAGCCCAGTGCTGTAGTGGTTAGGTTTGCACACTCTGCTTCTGCATCTTGGGGTTCGCAGGTTCAGACCCCTGGCAGAGGGCTACCCACCGCTCATCAAGCCATGTTATGGCAACATCCCACATACAAAATAGAGGAAGATTGGCACAGATGTTAGCTCAGCAACAATCTTCCTCAAGCAAAAACAGGAAGACTGGCAACAGATGTTAGCTCAGGATCAATCTTCCTCACCCAATGAATAAATAAATAAATAAATAAATAAATAAATAAATAAACAAATAAATAAATGAGATTTGGGAGTGAGGATCTTTAGCTAGGAGATTACAGAAAACTTCTCTGAGGAGATATTTTTACTGAGATATAAATGATGAAAAGCCTGCGGCCACATGAAGATCTTTGGGAAGATTATTCCACGCAAAAAGTATACCAAGTCCCTGAGACAGGAAGGAGAGTGGTACATATAAAAGATTGCAAGAAGACCAGTAGCAAATGATGGTGGAGGGAGTCAAGAGGTAGGAAGGGGCCAGATCATAAAAGGCCTTTTAGACTAAGATATGGAGTACAATTCTAAGTGCCACAGTAAGCCACTGGAAATTTTTAATCAAGAAAGGGATATGGTCCCATTTACACTTTAAAAAAGCAGCCCTGCCTTCTGGTAGAGAATGAAAAGGTAGGGATGGTAGGGAAGGACCAGGATATTGGTAGATATTAGCAAGAAGGAGGGATGTACAGAGTAAAGTCTTGTATGTGCATCAGAGAAACAGGGATTCCTAAAGGAGGAGAAAGTGTCTGGAAACAGCAATAGGGAATGAGAATGACATTTACATATATCCAGGCCTTGCAGTACGTGGGAATAAGAATAAAAAATAGCCATTGCTCAGAGGGCTGCAAAAGACACAGTATTTTTTTAAAACTTTTTATTGAGATTATGATAGTTTACAACCTTGTGAAATTTTAGTTGTACATTATTGTTTGTCAGTCATGTTGTAGGTGCACCACTTCACCCTTTGTGCCCACTCCCTACCCTGTCTTTCCCCTGGTAACCACTAATCTGTTCTCTTTGTCTACATGTTTAACTCCCACACATGAGTGGAGTCATACAGAGATTGTCTTTCTCTATCTGGCTTATTTCATTTAACATAATACCCTCAAGTTCCAGCCATGTTGTTGTGAATGGGACAATTTTATTCTTTTTTATGGCTGAGTAGTATTCCATTGTATACATATGCCATATCTTCTTTATCCAATCATCAGTTGATGGGCACTTAGGTTACTTCCACATCTTGGCTATTGTAAATAATGCTGCAATGAACACAGGGGTGCATGGGACTTTTGGAATTGCTGATTTCAAGTTCTTTGGTTAGATATCCAGTAGTGGGATGGCTGGGTCATATGGTATTTCTATTTTTAATTTTTGGATAAATCTCCACACTGTTTTCCATAGTGGCTGCACCAGTTTGCTTTCCTACCAACAGTGTATGAGGGTTCCTTTTTCTCTCCAACCTCTCCAACATTTGCTACTTTTTGTTTTGGTTATTTTTGCCATTCTAACGGTATTAAGGTGATATCTTAGTGTAGTTTTGATTTGCATTTCCCTGATGATCAGTGACGATGAGTATCTTTTTATGTGCCTATTGGCCATCCGTATATCTTCTTTAGAGAAATGTCTGTTCATGTACCCTTGCCCACTTTTTTGATAGGGTTGTTTGATATTTTGTTGTTGAGTTGCGTGAGTTCTTTACACAGTATGGAGATTAACCCTTTGAGAGACACAGTATTTTAAAGGACAGTCAAGCTTGTCAAAACAAGATGGTGAAGAGAACATTTGGAGAAGTTAAGGATATAGGAGAATTTGCTGATATGAATTCCAGACAATATGGTGAATTGGGGTTTTAGAGAGTAAGGAGAGGTGGAAAGAAGATCAGATTAGCAATTATACCAATTATTATGATAACAAGCACCCTGAAGACGAGGATTACCCTCTGACGATGAATAAATTAAATGAGGATATGACACATGTTGGGATTAATCTTAGAGGAAGGTGAGTAATTAGTTATTACACAGAGTTTTTAGCTGAAAGATACAGGAGGCCACCAGGAAGCTATTCAGCCCTGAAGTTCAAGATGATGCGAGGTCCTGCAGAACGGGTGGGGCTCTCTGGAAAGGTCATTCTCACAGGCAACTCACTGGACTGTGGTAACTTGGGGAAGAGGCTCTCAAACCAGGAGCTCAAAGGGCTTGATCCTATTATTTCTTTGAAAATCTCAAACCAGCATAGTGCTCAAGGCAGAGGAGGCTATGGGCCATCCCTCCCACAGATATACATAGATTAGGACGGCAGTTCAAAACATTGATTCAATAATTAATATGTATTGAGCATATGTGCCAGGCTCTGTTCATATTCATAACAATCCTATGAAGTAGATATTATTATAAATTGTATTTTTAAAATAAATAAACTTAGCATTGAAAAAGTTAAGTAGCTTGTGCAAGGTCACACAGCTAGTAAGTAAATGAACAAGGATTTAAATCCAAGTATTCTAGCACCTGATCACTCATTGTTTAATGAAGACTAATTTGTTTAGTTTTATTTAGTTTTAGTTTAACGAAAACTAATTAAGATCCCCTTCCTAAAAAGACTTCAATTATAATTATAATGCTTTTTAAACAAATTGATCCAGACATTTGTGGGTTTTTTGTTATTATTCCTCAGTGTCAACTCCAGGAACCACATTTAAGTCTCTTTTCTATTTCTCAATTCAAGAAAGAGAAATGAGAGTAAATGGGTAAAAAGAAAGGAGTATATAGGGCAACTAAAGAAAGTTTAACCAAGATTAAGGTCTTCCAAGTTCCCTTACGAGTTTCAACCTTTACAGAGGCTGAAAAGAAAGAGTAAATGGGCCTCCCTGCTCATCACCAGTCTTACGTATCTTTCTGGGCCTTGGCCACAGCACCAAAGTACAGGATCCTCAAACAATCTGTGACCAAATCACACCA